TATAGTAAAAATTATAGTAACATTTTAAATTTATTAAATTAATTTTATATTTAATAGATTTATTGTATATTATATTGGATTATATGTACAACTTGTTTATTTGGGATTAGTTAGATTATATTCGTTATGTATTATTTTGTTAGGATTCCTTGAAATTATATTTTAATTTCTTAAATGCATGAATTGGCTGTTTGAAATATATGGCATGAATTCAAATATTATATATTTTAAATTGTGGTGTAACCGTAACTCTTCATAACGTATATTTAATTATTTTGTAAAAAATGATATATCATTGTTATTTTTATCGAAAATGTATAAATCGAAAATATGGAATATAAAATATAGAAATATATATCGAAAATATAGAAAATGTAATATATTTAAATAAAATTAATGCCATATGATCGATAAACTATAATACTTTGTTGTCAGGTGCTGTATTGTATAACTGAAACATTCCTGAGCTAGTTTTGTATTTCTTTATAAGTTTTAATTGCTTAAATATATTTTGTAATATTATTATTCTTAACTTATAATTGAGATTACATACATAAAATCATATTAGTTGATCTCTCTTTAAACTTCACAATTTCATTATAAATGATAATAAACCAGTATATTCTATATATTGATATTTATACCTCAGAATTCAAATCGTTTAGTAAATAAATATTGTAAAAATGATTGTGAAAAACTTGGAGCATTGTTTTAAGTAAGAGGAATAAGAACTATTGATCCGGCTTTTCAGTTTATAAGAAGCAAAGATCATGGTTTGCTAAGCGACTAGAGTTTTGAAAACGAATTTGGTAAACTATTACATAAAAGCGTCTCGAATACATAATTTACAAATCAATTACAGGATAGCTTTCCGGTGCTGTTCAACATTCGTGAAAATACGAGATGGAATATTTTAACAATGTGAAATGATTTTTCATAGAAATTCAAGAATAGTAGATACTTACTACATACTTATAAAATTTTTATTTTGAAAATTTTGAAATTATTGTTCGATGGAAACATACCTATATCTAGATTGGACTGACTTATTTATATTAATTAATTCATGATTATTTTAGCATATATTCATTAAAAAGTTTAGATATATTGGAAAATTTATGAGATAAAATGGCTATATAAGAAATAATTATATTACAATATACTGTTATAAAACACATAATTTTCTAAATGCTTTGTAAAACTTATATTATAATAAGAATGTATGTATAAATATAATTAAATTAATTTATTTTTTACAATATATTTATTAATCAAATATTTCAATTTAGTTTATGAAGAATCACGATTCATTATTATAATTTAAAAAGTAAAAAGTAAAAACTTTATATAATATTTTTACTCAATATCTATTTTATTATTTAAATCATATTAGTACAGCATTGAATATCGTATATTTCATTTTTTTACAATATTTAAATTAGGTCTTGATTAAACAAATTATTCAACCAATTATTGAATATTCTTATTCCATAAAATTTGATATATATATATATCAATTTTACTTATATTTATATCTGTAAAAATTATATTGTAACAACATAATGTACCTATGGATTTCTAATACTTAAATATATAATAAGAATATAATTATATAAAAAATATAATTATATAAAAATAAAATTATTTTAGCTATGAATATTTTATTTTATTTTCTAGATATTATTTAAATTATATTTTAATAAAAGATTCATTACAAACTTTAATTTGTGGAAAAAATTATTTTAAATTTCTATAAATTTTCTTGTAACGTATTATTTTATTTATTTATTTATTATTTATTTAATTACAAATTATTATAATATATGTATTTAAATAATGTTGGCATAAAATTATTAAAAATGATACTAAGTAAAATGCAAATAATATAAAAAAGTGTTTTCTTAATAATTATTTAACATATTGTTACTTTTTCTTGAACAAAGTATAAGACGTATTATACCGTGTTGTTCGACAACTAGATAATAAATGAGAAAAACATTTTTTTGTCTTGCTTAGTTAAACAGTATAATCAAATTTCAGATAGAGACTAGTATTGGAATATTTCTTATTTATATTCATTTTTTATATTTTTACATGTCCATCAAAGTTTTCACAACTATCGAACATCAATAAATGTGAATGTATTCAATTAAATATCTTTGAAAAATTTCAAATTAAAATAATATATATTGTCCAAAATTTACTCTTGTTATTTTTAAATTATATTTAATAATATTGCAGTATAAAGTTACATTCAAAATAAAGCAATCAATAATTTGAATTTCATGGTTATTGAAATTTAAAAAGTAGGTAAATAAATTATGTTTTCTATCATAGTTACTTTACTTGGTTAAATCGATTCACTTTATTTTTAAAATGAGATATATAGGATAGATCTTTAAAAAGATTTTTCTCTATTTATATAAAAGTAATTGTGATAGGTACACTAACAAATCATGTAATTTTACCAGTTGTACTGGCACAATGTCTATCGATTCTTTTGTCGATGTATATTAGACGACGCATAGATATTACTAAACGGATAAAAATAGCTCCCTTGCATCACTACAAATTAAGTATATCCAACGAGTTCCTCGTAGAATTCGTTTATTGTGAAAAAATAAAAAAAAAAAGACGAAGAAGTTAAAAGATCTTGTTCTTAAAACATCATATACACATAGAATTCTGACTGATTAATTTAATGTCAAGATATTCGTCAACTTTAAAATAGTTAACATAATTAGTAAACTAATCAGAATATTGTTACTTACACGTTAAACTCTAGGAACATTCTATTTTTTAATTACAGTTTTAAATATTTTAGATTTATAAATATTGTTTATTTATATAATCAATTAATCTCCTTATAGCTATATATATATATATATATATATATATATATGATTTTTAGCTTATTAAACTATGCTAATGAATTAGCTTATTGTTACATATTAATTAAATTGAATTACTATACATAAATTGTATAGATTTGTACATGTTCACAATTTTATAATTAGCTTAAATTAATTCAAATACTGAAATAATATTCAGTTTTAAAGGAATTATAGAATATGTTAGATATAAGGTTTATAGTTTATGGATTATTACTTTTTAAAATGATAATGTTGTATAATTGTGTGTTATGAAAAACATTTATTTTTGCAATAATTTAAATTATTTCTATTATATATTAATTTCTTTTATATAATTTCTTAAGAATAACAAAATTTAATAATGTAATATATGTCAAGTATTATTTGTTTTTATTTTACTACAAAATATGTATACTTGGAAAATTTTTTAGTTTTTATTCATATCTCCTACAATATAAAAAATAAAAACTCACATATAAATATACTTTCAAAAATGTTAATTGTTAACTCTATATTCATGAAAAAGTACAATTAAAAAATAATGCCTTTTATTCTTACTATCAATAATTAATAAATACTATAATAATACTTTTTTATTTCCGTAATAATTGTAAACATTTAATTTATATAAATATGAATTTTTTAAATTATATTGTCAAAAAATGCGTCTTTTTAATCAAATGAAGTTGATATTTTTGAAAAGTACATTATAAATGCTAAAAATGTTGTTTTTAAGTATAGTACTTTTAGATGAGTAATATATATTAAACACATTAGCTCTATTGTTAATAAAAAAACTTTATAGAATATTTTTCAACAAATTTAAGAAAAACTGAAAACTATAAATTTTAATTTTATATTGGTGGAATATCATAATTTAACTGATATATTATTTACTTAACATAACGGATGATTCAACAACTTAGCAAATTACGTACAGTATTCGTGAAAAATATCTATTGAAATAAATGATCTATTAAATAAATGTATGTTATTTTTATGTTGTTTTTATATTTTAGAAAAAAAGATTTTAATGACTTAGTAATAAATTATTGCATTTATTTTCAATAGATTTTCATTAATATAATGATAATTAAATTAAATAAATATATATTATGATTTTTTAGAAATATGTTTTTATTCTGGAAATAATTTACTAATCTAAATTATGAGTGAAAATTAGTTTTGCAATCAAAATTTAAAGAACAGAATCATTGCAATATATCACTGTAAATTATAATGATAAATTATATAACACCAATTTTATTGTAAGCTAAAGAATTTGTAAAGCAAAATTATAGAATAAATTACATTGATTAAATTATTTTATTTGATATAAAACATTATTACAAAGTTTTTTAATTACATAATTTTTCCGTTGCATATTGTTAATATAACATTTTTGTATTAATAGTTGAATGCTATATTTTTATGTTTAGTACATATTTTTATTCTATTTTTACATTTTGCATTATTTTACTTTTTCATATGATAAATATCATTAAATAATATATAAACTAATATGTCACTAATTAATATAATGAACTTATTATGAATGATTTTATGATAAATTTATTTTCAATTCACAATAATGTAAACAAAAGATGTATAAGTTCAAAATTAATAAAAAGAATTCTATATATTTAAATTATGTTCAAGAATAATTTCAATTATAAGATGTCGCTTTGGTGATTTAAAAATCTGTTTAAAAACATATTATTGTTACTTTTTTTAAATAGCTAGATACAACTACCTAGAGCGGAAATTTCAAAATACAGCTCTTGAAGCTACATAAGCAAACAATTGGACGTAATGCTTGTCTAATTCAATCGGGTTTGATAAGATGCGAATTAAAAATATGAAATAAAGAGAAAAACGATCGACTTTAACGGTATATGGTAAAGTTGTTATAATAACAGTGTATAACAATTTAAGAGCAAGTAATCAATGCATTCATTTAACATTTCTATTTTATAACTTTTGTAATCGAGTTTTCTGAATTATAATTGACATTGTTAAAAATCGGTAAGGTATCAATGTATATTTTAGATATTTACTTGGCATTATTAAGTCATGCTTTACAAAATAGAATTTGTTTATATAGTTATCTAGAAAATATGCTCTAAGTAAATATCGAATGTATAAATAATTATGTATTTCATTTGTTTTAGGGCGATTACATCAGACATCCTGTCCTTAACGAATTGTCACACAAGTATGGAGTGGCAGGCAGTGATCAAGTACCTTTGCAAGCCCGACTCGATGAACTTCGGGAACATATACGTCGTGAGATACGCAAGGTTCGTAAATGGCTATGAACATATGTCTACATACTCGTCTATAAAAATGGATTCAATCAATTAATATTTATCTGCTTTAATTGATGCGAATTTTGGAGGCGTATATCAAAAGATGAATAATTTCCCCGTAATTGCCTGAAAATTAGTACTAAATATTTCGTAATCAGATGGAATAATATAGCATTGTCTTGTTTTTTAAAGACGTTTTTTATACGCGTGTAAAAGTGTTTAAATTGTGAACTTATTTTGAATACCAAATTCCAATATATTTAAATTTGGATTGGATTGGATCCAATAAATAAAGATTATTCATCATGGAAAATCAATAATTTTTCTTGATTTGCAATTATCAGTCTTTATAATTACTTCTGTAAAATATAATATGTTTACCATTAAAAGATTTAAGTATGTGATTACAAACGATAGAACAATCGGCAACTAAACTAAGTAACTTTCAACCACTTTTAAAAATAATTTTGATTTCTTTTATTGTGCATAAGTTCTAGGAATAGTTAAATAATTCAAGTGTATAAGCTATCAAATTTTGAATAATAAATAAATCTTTATTATAATAGATAAAAAATATTAAAACTTATTGTTTACAATACTGTAATGTTCAAAAATCAATTCGATGCATACATTTATATCAAAAGGCATTTACTCTAATGATTTTAGTATGAAAATATTGTTTCAAATTTATTTGGATTTATTAAAAATTGTTTTAGAATCATACCGATATATATATATATATATATATATATATTATCATACCTTGGATTAAAATAGTAAATGACATTTATGAAAATATGTTTTATATTTAATATTTTATATTTCTTATATAGTTTCACAAAATATTCGATAAATATTCTAAAAATAATAAAGGTAATTTATTTAAACTCAGAATACAAATTTCTTGAAAGAGTTTATACCTTATATTAGAAATTTGTAAATACTGACAAAGTTTCTTTGAAATACATAAATCAATTTTTAAAATGCAACATTCAGTAATATATTATAACACTTTCAATTGGAATACTATTGATATTGCAAATGCAAAAAAAATGATTTATAAAAGAGAAAAAAATTGTCCATGTAATCAATATTAAAACAAAATATACTTGAATGCTTAGAAATATGAACACACACAGCACGCACATGCGCGCACACACATATATTGCTACTGCTATTTAAACATTTTCTTTAATTATGGATCATAGAAGGATTAAGTTAATGTAACAATAATTGAATAGTGGATAATTTAAATATGGCGGCTTGTTTTAAAAGAAATTTAAAGACCTTTTTATTCTATTAATAATACTATTAATAATACTCTATTAGATATAGTCTGTGACAAACTCTAAAGTCTATTAGAACACAATTTTTCAAGTTAATAGACGAATGAAAATGTTCAATTTATTTAATGTTTATATATATTTGCAAAAAGTATATTATATATTGAATGGATTAACACTCTT